AAGTCTATAAACATGTAAGATAAAGAGACCTCTCAAGACATCTGGGGCAAACTCCGTTTGGCCAGCAGTCCATCTTCATTTCACAGTTCATTTAGGCTTGGAAAATGCAGTGTAGGCATTGGTGAATGGAACAACTTCCGGTCACCATCTGGCCCTTTAGTCCTCAAACTTTCCAGGTTCCTTCGTGTGCAAATTTAACGACTTGAAGTTGGAGACATTTAATTAATCTGTGCTGACACAAGGAAGTCTCTGCGAGTGAGGAAATATTGGTATCCACTAACCCTATCTTAGCAACATTTCCACTTAAGTGCATCCCTGATTTAAGGTACAACTGAAGTTTGTACATTTAAAAAGCTGTTCCTCTGGGAAGGAGTTCTGACTTTATTTATTTATTTTTGAATTCTGACTTTTAGAATTTTCATCTAGGGTAAATATTTTCTTCAGATGAATTAAATAGAATTCTTGCTTCTTACTCTTCTCTACACCATTCATATCTGCTTATTACATTTAATAAAATAAATAAAATAATAGCATCTCATAAGTTGCTTTGATTTTACAAAATACTTTCTTTAGGCCTGTATGGATTTCTTAAGTCTTAAAATTGTAAAACTCGGAATTTCCCAGTCTTTTGACATTAGTAAATAATGTGTGATGTTGCTGTATGCATATACTACCAATAATAGTAGTTGTCATTCAGTACGGTGAAAAAAATTCAGATTCGAAATGAAAGTAATCTAATTCTGACAGAAAACCACCTGTGGACATCGTCTTGTTTCTTCGTTTCGTTTCTTCTGTCTTCTACAAAAGATGTGGGTTTTTATGCAAGGTGCTTTAACAGGATATCCCAGTTAAAGCTTTGACAGACTGTTTATAGTTCACTTGTGCCCAGGGGCAGTGAAAGGCTCATTACAGGATAAACAAGGTGACTCCTCAGCAGCAGCAGGAGGATGTGTGGGTAGGATTATTAATGTTGAAATGAATTAGGATAGAGTGATGTGTCTGCAGTAGCACCAAGGGCTAGTAACTAAACAAGGATTCATGTGCAGAAATCCATAATGCTTATCAGTTCCTTAGTGTAAAGGAGAATAAAATCTAGGGAGAGGGGAGAAGGAGGAGGTATAAAGACAGATATGGCAGTATTAAAAATGTTCTTCCAGCACAAAGACATTTAAATCCTCCTTTGTCAGAACTATTTGGTCCGCTTGGAACGTTGGCATCGGGCCTGGGAGTTCAAGGTAAGTAGGGAGAAAGGAAGCCGTTCCGTTTTTACCGGAGTGTTCAATCTTTTGATCTTGCTTTACATTCACACCATCCTTACATGTCTGTTCTGACCAGTTTATTACACTTATTTTTGTGGGATGTGCTTGATTTGTGCTCTCCCAGTAGCTTCTGGCTTACCAGCCTTCTATTTCTGTACACAGCGCCAACTACGTTCTGCTTTTCATCAATTTCGTCCCATGGTGGGGGTGGCGGTCAGGCGTCCAAGTCGTCTTCCCCTCAGGCTCTGAGCCTCAGTGGTTGCTTATATGCTAAGGAATTTGGATATTTTAGTCATTTTGATGTGTATCTTCTCAAATTCTCTTTGGCCTTAGGAGAAGCTGGTTATTGGGAAAGTTCTCTGCAAATACTAATTAAAAATAGGGCCCCGGGATTTAGCTCAGTGGCACTGGGCCTGCCTTGGAAACTCAAGGTCCTGAGTTCAATCCCCTCGTACAAAAAAAAAAAAAAAAAAAAAAAAATTCCCTCTTTATTTTATATTTTTAAATATCTGGTCC